CTTTCCCCTGCCCCACCGTCCCATCTGTCCCCACGTTGCCCCTCCCCCCAGGCCGGGAGCAGGCTGGGAGCCATGCGGGGGTGTGCGAGGGAGATGGATGCCACCCCGATGCCTCCTGCACCCTCATGCCCTTCGGAGCGAGTGACTGTGTGTAAGTGTGGTCCTCCTCTCACCACCGCCCATGATCCATCTTCCATGGATGGGGGGTTGCTCAGGAGATGGGATGTGGGGAGACAGCCACGCTCCTGGAGGGCAGAGTGAAGGGGAGGCTGCGGCAGGAGCTCACCTGCCTCCACAATTGGTCTGTTTTCTTACCATTCCTATCCAGAACCGAACACCTCCCATGACCCACCCCAGCCCCCTGAACCCCCTTCATGGACAGATCCCCCACAGCCTGGGGCAGAAGAGGCGTCGAGGGCGCCAGAAGTGGCGGCAGCAGCAGCCGCAGCAGCCAAAGAGAGGCAAGAGAAAGAGAAAGCGGGCGGTGGAGGGGTCCCGGAAGAGCTGGTCCCCGTGGTTGAGCTGGTCCCCGTGGTTGAATTGGAAGAGGCCATAGCCCCAGGCTCGGAGGCCCAGGGCGCTGGGTCTGGTGGGGACTCGGGGGTGCCCCCAATGGTGCAGCTGCAGCAGTCACCACTAGGGGGTGATGGAGAGGAAGGGGGCCACCCCAGGGCCATTAACAACCAGTACTCCTTCGTATGAGCCGACCCCACCCACTCCACCCTTTTTAAGCCCCCCCCCAGCCCTGCTCGTGAGATTGGGCTGAGTAGGGACAGAGGAGGCCGAAATCCCTCCCCCATGCTTCCTGACCCTTGTCGGCCAAGGGCATCTTCGATGGTACAAGCAGAGGCTCAAGAGAGGCTCCTGTCACACACTACAGGTCCCCTCCCCAGGGCAGGGGATTTGGGCTCTATGAGCTCCTTGAGGGGCTCTTCTGGTCAGCCCCACCCTGGGGGCCATTTCCCCATTAACCACTCCCAGCCCGAGGCAGGGTGAGGGGGAAGGGCTGTCAGTTATATTAAGGTGGTTGTTGTTGTTGTTTTAAACAAAATGGAGAAGCATAAATAAATAAAAAGGTTTATCTCGGTTCTATCGTGATGGCTATGGCCAGTGTTTGCTATGGGGACTGGGGCAGTTGGGTTGGGAAGGCGGCTCACTCAGTGCCCACAGGCCAGAGGGCTGCCCCAGGCTGAGTCCCTGTCACTATGCAGTGCTGTGCTTTCGGTGCCATCCCTGTCTCTGACAGCCTTGTTTGTGGAGCGCTAAATGATGCTCTTGGGGTCTCCTGTGAGTTCTTGTCATGGAACGGTGCTGTGAATGGCAGGCATAGGGATCTCCAGCGGCCCTTCCTGAGTTATGGCTTCCTACCCTAGAGAGAGCTGGCAGCGAGAGATGGGGGACACGGTGGCTGTGCTGGGAGAGATTGAATGTGGCAGTTGCAGAGGGGCCCGATGCCCCCCTTCTCAGAGCCAAGCTGGGGGGTGGACGGCAGAGAGCACTGGCTTCTGTCCTGGTTTTTGCCACTCACTAGCCTGGGCAAGGCGTAGCCACGCTGGGCCTGAGCATCCTCATCTGTGACATATGAAGTTTCATCTGCTGACATGGTTTGCTTGGCCTGGACATGGTGTCCATTTGAGTTTCACATTAAAAATTCAGATCCCTGTAGTCCCAGCTACTCGGGAGGCTGAGGCAGGAGAATGGCGTAAAAAAAACCCGGGAGGCGGAGCTTGCAATGAGCTGAGATCCGGCCACTGCACTCCAGCCTGGGCGACACAGCGAGACTCCAGATCACAGGCCGGGCGCAGTGGCTCATGCCTATAATCCCAGCACTTTGGGAGGCTGAGGTGGGTGGATCACCTGAGGTCAGGAGTTCGAGACCAGCCTGACCAACATGGAGAAATCCTGTCTCTACTAAAAATACAAACAATTAGCCGGGTGTGGTGGTGCATGCCTGTAATACCAGCTACTCAGGAGGCTGAGGCAGGAGAATGGCTTGAGCCCAGGAGGCGGAGGTTGCTGTGAGACGAGATGGCACCATTGCACTCCAACCTGGGCAACAAGAGCAAAACTGTCTCAAAAAAAAAAAATAGCCGGGCATGGTGGCATGCACCTGTAGTCCCAGCTTTTCAGGAGGCTGAGGCAGGAGAATCTCTTAAACCCAGGAGGTGGAGGTTGCGGTGAGCGGAGATTGCACCGCTGCACTCCAGCCTGGGCAACAGAGCAAGACTCTGTCTCAAAAAAAAAAAAAAATTCACTGGCTTCTCTTGAAAATCAGAAGATCCAGTAGTGCAGGTCCACTTCCACATCTGCCCCATCCCCACCAGCTCACTTTGCTCCCTGGGAGGGCTTGGCCTTGTGGGCATTTGAGTTTATAACACCACCCACATTGTGGCACACCCCTCCACCTCATCAAACACAGGCTCTGCTGTTGGAATCAGTCTTCCTGATCCGCGGCTGTGCCCTCCAACAGAGGGCACCCCTGGGCTTCCCAGCTCTGGGAGCAGTGGGTGCCAACAAGGAGGGGCCTGGGGCTGAAGAATCCCACCCGCTGAGCTCGGCCCTCTCCCTTCCCCGCTGTCCAGCTCTGCCTTTCAGCATCCTGCCTCACTCCCCGCCCAGGCAGCATGGAGCCCACACCCTCATGCCCCTCAGCCTCAGCCCCCACCTCCAGGAGGCCCTACCCACGCTCATGACCTTGCTATTCTGGGCCTTGTGTCCTGTCGGGAGATGGACAGGAGACAGCTGGGTTTCCAGGCCACTCAGGCGGGGGGCTAGCAGAGGGAAGCCTGCTGGCTCTCCTGCTTACTCTAATTCCTGGGGCTCCCCAAACCTTGGCCTCAGGAGACTGGGGATAGGACCAGCCTTGAAAGTGGGGGAAGCTTTGGAGAGCCGGGTGCTGTGTTCTTAGTGAGATGACCAGCGAAGGCTGTGGCGCCCGGGGGTAAGCAGGGCCTGATCCCCTCCTAATCTTCCAGCAGCAACTGGTGCTCTGAGGCTCCCCTCCCCCAGCCCTGCCAGGGACCTGCCTTTCAAAGATGGGCAGGGGAGGGGGACGGGGACACCCACCCACTCCTCAGACCGGCACATCTTGGCTGTTGGGGCCTGAGAGACTTTCGCTCTAAGCCTTTCTTTACAGATGGTTAAACCAAAGTTCTGCACTCATCAGGGACTGGCCAGGGTGTCTCCGTGTCCCATGCTTTTAGCTCCAGCCCTCAGGTGTGATAGGAGGATCACTTTCCATCCCTGGGCTTGGAGACCCCTGTGGGAAGGGATCCCCAAGGGTGCCTCTGGCTCAGCCTCCCTCCATGGCAGTTCACATCCGTAGCCTCCCTGAGGGTGGCCCTTCCACAGCTCCTGGCGGATGGCTTTCCCTCCCTGGCTTATTTCCCCCTCTGGGAAGCCGGGGGAGGTAGAAATGAATAACCTTAAAGGCCTGTTGGCAGGAATGTGCTGCCAAGCCTGCCCCCTGCCCTCTGTCTCAGGCTCTTGACTCCCTTGAAGCTGCCCATCTCTCCGTCTGCCCCTCTCCATGTTTGGGCATTCCCACTGCTGTAAGACAGTAGCCCCTGTCACTCCTCCAGGTGCTGGTGGGGAGATGCCGGCCAGCGCCAAAAGCCTTGGCGGGTGTGAGCCTGAGTCCAGCAGAGATGGTGGGTGCCGGGCCGTGTGGAGGTGCCGGGGGCTGTGTCCCTTGGAAGAGAGGCTGCTAATTAATGCCCTCCTGTACCCTCAATTCAGCCCACTGTCCCCTACTCCCCTCAGGTCACAGCAGGACTCTGCTTCAGGGGAGGGGTTTGTTGGAACTGTGAAAAGGAGGGGGGAAGGAACGCCTTGTCCTCAACTCACCCGGGAGGCCGCGCCTCCCCCAAGTTCAGGCAGAAGAGATGCATCTGGGAGGCTGAACCCTCAAGTTCCATCCACCCCTGCTGCCATCCCCCTCCCCAAAAGTGGAGGCCTCCCTTTTCGTTGCTCTGCTGTCTCCTATTCTGTCCTCTGCCTCGGTGTTTGAGCCCCAGAATGGAAAGCAGCCTTAAGAAGCCACACTTAGGAAGTCCACATGCCTCTGCTCATTTCAGGAAACAGGCCTAGATGGAGGATGGACTTGAGCCCAGGGCACCAGGCCCCTTCCCCTCACCGACCTTTCACACTGACTCTCATCCAGCCTCTGCCTGCCTGTCCTCCCCTTCCTGCACCCCAGTACCCTCCCTCGGCTTCTTCAGCAGCTGCCCTGGTGGTAACCAAGAGATGCCCCCATCCTGGAGCAGGGGTGGGGAGGGGCAGCTCAAAGCAGCTGCTTCTCTGAGGAAGCTGACACCAAGGCCAGCGTTCAGCAACAATTTGTGGCTTTGCACCCAGCGCCGGGGTCCCCGCCCACCTGGCTCCCTGCTGTCCCTCTTCCCCACTGCTCCTCAGACTTCCCTCTGACCCTGGTTACTCTGTGTCTCTGCTCCCTCTCTCCCTAGGTCTAATCTGTCCTCATTTCCCCCAGACCTGTCCCCAGAAGTCCACCCTTCCCCATTCCTTTGATCTGGAACCCCTTCTTGGTCCGGCTTCCCCAGGCCCCGACACCTTTCTGTGGGGCCTGCCCAGCTCCTCGGCACACACAGCATGGGCCTGATCCTGTTCCCCTTGTGGGCAGATGCAGCAGGGCAGAGTGCAGCACAGACCACAGGCCTCTGGGGCTGGCCATGGAAACCCCGTGGATTAGAGCACAGTGTGGGATGAAGTGACCCTCAGTGCACGACTTGGGGTGACCCCTGCCCCCATCCTGAGACAGTTACCCTTCCCCCTCTGCCATCAGCACATTCTGTAGCCTCTTGGGTTACTTGGCTGCCTTGGTGTCCCATTTTCTTGGGGGGGGTGGGGATTCCCTATCCAGGATGGGGCGGCCCTGAGGGCTCTGTTCCCGGAGGCTGAGTTAGAGCGATGGGGAAGGGGGGGCAGTTTTGGGGAGAGACAGGCAGTGCTCACCAGGGCCTGGACACTAAATCCCTTGTTGATGGCTGTGGCAACCCCTCCCTAGGGTAGGGTTACCATCTTCGGCCCTGTCCCCTTGACTCTCTCCCCTCTTCACTTCCCCTTGTCCCTCTAGGAGCCATTTCCTCTATCCCCCAAAAGATGTCTCCCTTCATCAGTCCCCCAAAGGCTTGGGGTATCTCTGCCACTCCTTCAGCGAAGCAGGTGAGGAGGAAGGAGACTGCGGCAATGGAAACAGGCTCCGGGCAGATGAGGCAGGAAGGGGGACAGGTGAGGCCGGGGATGGAAGAGGGTTCAAGGAGGAACTAGGGGGATGAGTTTGGAATGGGAAATTCAATGCAACTGGGGAAGTCGAGGCAATGGGGGGCGGGGTCAGTAGCAGATGACAGAAAGTGAAGTCTCCCTACCCCACTTCCCTGGGGCTGGGGCTACCTTTGCGTCCCTCATGAGTGACATCTCAGGCTGCAGCCCCACTGTTCCCCCTCTGTCAGCAGAAATATCTCTCTTCTGACCCCTCCTGCTGGAGTCTCAGCCAGCCAATCCCTGATCTGGAGGAGGGGGGAGCCCGGCCTCCCCCCTGCTCCCTCATAAGGACCAGCTGGGGGCCGGGGGGTGGCCGGCTGCTCAAGTGGGACGGGGGTCAGAGCTTTGTGGAAGGAAGAAAAACCTGGAGGGGGCAGGAGAGTAAAAAGAAGAAACCCAGGCAGACAGGCAGTTGGACACACTGAAGAAGACCCCCCACGAGTGGGAACCCCTTGGAAGGAACACACCGGCCCCGGCCCCCAGGAAGGGAGCGCAATGGAGGCCGCTCACGCTAAAACCACGGAGGAATGTTTGGCCTATTTTGGGGTGAGTGAGACCACGGGCCTCACCCCGGACCAAGTTAAGCGGAATCTGGAGAAATACGGCCCCAATGGTAAGTGTCCCTTGGAAGAGAGGCTGGTAATTAATGTCCTCCTGCACCCCCAAAACACACGCACACGCATGCACGCGTTTCTCCCTTCAGGGTATCTTAAGGAAGAGCTGGGCCGTTGTCCAATGCTCGCAGGGGTAAGAGGATACTGAGAAAACAGAGTCCCGAGATCCAGAGTTTTGGGAGGTTTTAATGGGATGACCTTGATGAACCTCAAGGTGGCCTGATTCTCTTACCTTAGCCACAAAGTCTTGGGTGTGGGGGGCATGAGGCTGAACCCCAAATGAATCTGTCTTTTTCTTCTTTTTCCTGGGTAGAGCTCCCTGCTGAGGAAGGTAAGTTACTGAAATCCCTGAACTCTCATAGATGACCACCCCTCTCTCCCGCCCCATCCCACTCCCTCCTCCCTGCCTTTTCTTTAGATTCCTTGAGCAAATACCCCTTCCCAAAAGGCAAATCTCCCTCCCTAAAGGTTAGAGTCCTGTCCAGGGCAGAAGTCTCCCAGACACTTTCTCCTTGAAGCATCCAACCCTTGAACGGCTCCCCACTTTGCCGAGTCTGTTTCTGTACTCTAGGCGAGATTCTCAGCCCTTCTCTGGGCACCAAGCTGCCTGCCCACCACCCTAGAGCCTCTTCACTGCAGGCCGGAGTTCAGGGGGCTCCATCCCAGACCTTCACCCCCTAGACCTTAACCCGGGGCCCTCCCCTTGCCTCCTTCCCCAGGGAAGACCCTGTGGGAGCTGGTGATAGAGCAGTTTGAAGACCTCTTGGTGCGGATCCTCCTCCTGGCCGCATGCATTTCCTTCGTAAGTGTGGGAGGGTCTCTGGGGGCTGGCTGGGGGTGTGAGGCTGGGATCGGGTGAATGCGGGGTTCGCAGTCACTGGATCCTCCCGTCCGAGCCCCGAGCATCCCATTGTACAGACGGGGCGGGCTCGGGGGCAGCAGCGGGTGTGATTCGCTTCCTCCTCTCTCCTCCCCCGCACCCCACAGGCAGGTTTTATTTTAAGCTTTAAGGGTGTTCTCAGCCAAAACACCGAAGCTAAGCCACCCTCGGGGCTTCAAGAGCTTGGAGGGCTCGGGTTACCCCCCGAGCCGCGGGCTCCGGGTCCCGCAGCGATGCCGGCTGCAGCTCGGGGGCCACTGCCACTCCCGGCATGCCCCGGGCGGGCGGCCGTTCCACCAATCCCCGCGCCCGCCGGCGCCCCTTCCCTGCCCTCCCCGGCCGCCTGACGCTGATTGGTCGAGAGGAGGACTCGCTCCTAGTGGCGGGAAAGCGCGGCGGTGCGAGGATGACTCCAAGGAGCCCGGCGCCCAATCAGGGAGGGCACTGGCATCCCTCGCCTCACCGCCCAGCCTGGCCCTAGCCCTTCCCCGCGCTCCCTAGGCCCCCCCACCGCCGCGGGGCATCCCCAGGGCCCTGCCTCCTCTCCCGCCCTGGGGGCTACTTCCCATCCCGCAGTCCATCTGCGTATCGCGGGTTCTTCTCCAGCATGAGTCTTGCTGGGGCCTCTGGAGGCAATGAAAGCCTCCCTGTACCTTGGTTTCCGAACGCAGGCCCCGTTGCGTTAAGCACAAGCTGGCAGGGCCTCTCCTTTCCCTTCTCAGATTTGCTCCTTGACATTTGCCTGCTGCCTGGCGGTGGCAACAGCTGGGGCGGGGCGCGCGCAGGAGGCCCCGTAACCTTATCCCCGCTCTGGCTCCCTCGTGAAACCGGAGCTTCCCTGCCTTGGCCGAGGGGGAGGGCTGCGGGGGTCAGACGGCCTGCGAGGACCACAGGGTTTTTCCTCTCGGGTTTTGGCTCCCGTGGGATGGATGTGGCTGTGCGGGGAGTTGGCCTGAGCTTCGCTTCTAAGCCAGCAGCTTGGTTAGGGAAACCTGAAAGCATTCCCAGCTAATCCCCCTACTGGTGCAAGTCTGTGCGCGCTCATCCCGCTGAGTAAGGCGGTGGCAGGGCCTGCAGTGGGTGGACAGACCCACAGACGAATGTGGGGCCACAGCGTCCCCACCATACCCGGTCCCCCTGCTGGCTACTGCGCAATTCTCCCCTCTGCAGTGGGCCACTTCCTTTCTCCACCCCTTTCCGGGCCTCATTACCTGTCATTCTCCTTTCCCCTGCTCTCCAGGTGCTGGCCTGGTTTGAGGAAGGTGAAGAGACCATCACTGCCTTTGTTGAACCCTTTGTCATCCTCTTGATCCTCATTGCCAATGCCATCGTGGGGGTTTGGCAGGTTAGCTTTGACCCTTCCTCACCCCTTCATGTCCCAACACTGAAGGAGAGGCCAACCCTCCCTCCAGTCTCCTCCTCCTCCATCACCTCCCCCATACTTGCCTCTTCCTCTGGTCCTATCCCCTGGTCTGGAATGGGATGGAGTGTGGGGAAGAGGTGGGAGACTGTGACCCACTGTCACTTCCTGGCTGTGTGACCCTGAGCAAGTTCCTTCATCCCTCTGAGACTCAGTTTCTTCATCCATAAAATGGGGCTAGCAATCCAGTGTGAAATCAACTAAGATGATGGATGTGCCTGGCACACAGTAAGAATTCAATAGACGCTAGCTTGATTTCCTTCTTCCTCTGACCTGACCACCCTCTACATGTCCTGTCCTCTGCTTCCTGGGTTTTTTGTTGTTGTTGTTGTTCTTGTTGTTGTTTTGTTTTGTTTTAGGTCGTTTCCATAGTGAAAACCCAAATGCTACCTTGCTTTGGTTCTAAGAAATATCAGGCTATAAGCCATTTTTTGGTGCTCACTGGTTTCTGAACACTGAGGACAGAAATAGCCACTTTCTCACTTTGGGAGGCCGAGGCGGGCGGATCACTTGAGGTCAGGAGTTCAAGAGTAGCCTGGCCAACATGGTAAAATCCCATCTCTACTAAAAATACAAAAAATTGGCTGGGCATGGTGGCGGATTCCTGTAATCCCAGCTACTCGGAAGGCTGAGGCAGGAGAATCACTTGAACAGGGAGGTGGAGGTTGCAGTGAGCCAAGATTGTGCCATTGCATTGCACTCCAGCATGGGCAACAGAGTGAGACCCTGTCTCAAAAAAAAAAAAAAAAAAGAAAGAAAAAAAGAAAAAAAAAGAAATAGCACTTTCTCTTTGCCCCAGTGTTACAGGTACAGCAGAGCCACTGTGTCTGTGGTGCTGGCAGGTCTAGGACAACATCTGCAGGGCAGCCTCTGATTTTCTTTGATTTTTTATTTAGATTTTTCTTTTTGAGACAGGGTCTTGTTATGTCGCCCAGGCTGGAGTGCAGTGGTGTGATCTCAGCTCACAGCAACCTCTGCCTCCCGGGTTCTAGTGATTCTCCTGCCTCAGCCTCCCAAGTAGCTGGGATTACAGGCACGTGCTACTACGCTAGGCTTTGTTTTTGTTTGTTTGTTTGTTTTGTTTTGTTTTGTTGTACTTTTGGTAGAGATGGGGTTTCACCATGTTGTCCAGGCTGGTCTTGAACTCCTGACCTCAAGTAATCCACCTGCCTCGGCCTCCCAGAGTGCTGGGATTACAGGTGCGAGTCACCACGCCTGGCCTGATTTTCTTTGATTCTTCTTTGTTCTCTCCCCAAAACCCTCTTACCTGTTTTCAGCTGTAGGTGACAGTTTCCTCAACACACACACACCCCTGCCCGTGTGGGGTTTTGTTGCCTCCCCTGTGCCAGGAGCCACAACTCCATAACCCTGCCTCCTGTGCATAACCATGCCTCCTCCACCCTGTCTCCTCAGGAGCGGAACGCAGAGAATGCCATCGAGGCCCTGAAGGAGTATGAGCCAGAGATGGGGAAGGTCTACCGGGCTGACCGCAAGGCAGTGCAAAGGATCAAGGCTCGGGACATCGTCCCCGGGGACATCGTGGAGGTGGCTGGTGAGTGACAGGGACGGCTGGTCCAGGATGTGAAGCTTTGGGACTGAGGCCTAGGAGACGCTGGGGGCTGGTCAGGCTCAGATCCCGGTGTCCAGGAGGATGGCGGAGTCTGCTTCTCCTTCCGACTCCTCAGAAGGTCATCCCAGGCCACTCCGGCCACAGCCCCCCTTCACCAGCAGAGTCTCAGCAGGGAACAGCCAGTCCTGTCCCTGAGGCTGCAGGCAGACCCCCTGCTCTCCATCCTCTCACCCTGCACTCGCACTTGCAGGCAACAGGTGGAACTCGGTCCCTGCCAACGGCCCCGTCTCCACCCCCTCCCGGGGCCTGGCTTCCCCCTCCTTCCACCCACCCCAAGCTTGGTCAGCTTTCAGTCTTGACCTCTCCGTGCCCTTGAGGCCTCTCAAAGGGGAAGGAGCGAGGGCAGAAGGGAGGAGGGAGGCCGAAGGCTCGAGCCCCCAGCCATGTAAGGGAAACTCAGGCCCTGCACGGAGCACGGGACTGGGGAGGAGGGAGCTCAAGGAGGGCCCCGCCCGAGGCAAGGGACACTTAATGCCTGGCCAGGGAGGGGTGGGGGCTGGGTGGCTAAGATTACTGGGATTCTGCCCCCTTCAGCGGTTTTTATATTTGCCCTGAGCAGGCCTTCCCGAAGCTCCAGGCCCCTGCCAGGGGGAATGGCTCTTCTGAGGCCTCCTTCCCTGTAGCAGACACCCGAGTCACCACCCCAGGGAGCCTGGGGATAGGGAGTGAGGGCAGGCCGAAGACCCCGGCACCCCATTACCGCCGTGACAGCATGGAGTCAGCGCCATGAATGTCTATAAATATCACACGGGCTTGGGTGACAGGGCGTCCCGCCTGACTCCATCCCGACCTCCCTCCTCCCTCCTGGGTCCATTTCCTCTGGCACAGGAGGGAGCCTTAGAAACAGAGGGAAAGGAAAGCGATTGGATCCGGTCCCCAGTACCATCGCTGGGACCAGTGTGGAATTAGGCAGCGGCCCTGGGAGGTTCTTAGGCTCCTCCTAAGGTCTCTGAGTCTGGCTGGGCATCCACCTCTCCAGCCGCCCCCAAGGTGGTTTCCATGTGTCTGTCAACCCACCTGTGCACTCCCTGGCCTCACCTCCACCCATTCACTCTCCAGCCTGTGCTGCCGGCCCTGCTCCTCCACACCTGTTTCCTGCTCACCCCCCCGCTTCTCTCTCGCCCCATCCGTCCTGTCTTGTCCATGTTCCCAGCTTACTTTCCCCAGCTCCTCACCTCCCTGCCTCCCTGAGATGCTCAGACCCAGCTGTCAGGTTCCTGATATGTGGTCCCCTCCATGACCACCCTACGCCCCCTGCTGCCTTGAGTCCTGCCCACTCATACCTTCCGCTCACTCCTCTCCTGCCTTGCCCTCCACTGTTCTCTTGGTTGCCCTCGATTTTCTCAATTTCCATATTTTCCCGTTTCGCCCTGCCTTCCCTGGCTGTCCACTTCATTCTCTCACCCCAATACTCCTTCTCTCTAACACACCCTGTTTTCCCTGAGTTCTTTCCTTGCCTTTCCTCTTTGCCTTTCTCACTCCTGTCTCCCATTCTCAATTCTAGCTTCTTGTCCTACAGCTGGACTGTCCTTAATTTCGCCTCCAGTCATTCAGTGGGCATTTATTTAGCATGTATTATGTGCTGAGCAGTATGCCTGCCCATCCCTTCTCAGGGCTCACAGCCAGTGGGAAGAGATGTGGGAATTCAAGACCAACCTGAGAACAGAATGAGACTCCAGCTCGCCATGGACACGGGGGCAGAAGGGATGGGTGTCACGATGGGTGGTTGCCAGCTTCAGGAGCTCATGCCAAGGGCCTGATGCAAGCCCTGGGAGCCTCCCTGAGACCTGAAGGATGGATGAGGAGAATGAGTCAGACACAGATTGGGTTTTTCTTAGGAAGGAAGAAAATTCCATTCCCAAGTGACCTCCCTCTTCCCTACTCTCTCCACAGTGGGAGACAAAGTCCCTGCAGACATCCGAATCCTCGCCATCAAATCCACCACCCTGCGGGTTGACCAGTCCATCCTGACAGGTCTGCTGGCCTGGGTGGGAAGATGCATGGGGGTGGGATGTGGGAAGGAAGAGGCAACAAGGGGGAGGTGAGTGGAAAGACAGAGAACCCTCACTGTCTGAGCAACATAGAGAGACCCTGTCTCTAAAAAAATTTTTTAAAATTAGCTGGGCATGTTGTTGAGTGCCTATAGTCCTGACTACTCAGGATGCTGAGGCGGGAGGATCACCTGGGTACAGGAGGTCAAGGCTGTAGTGAGCTGTGATCACACCACTGCACTCCTTTCTGGGCAACCCTGTCTCTATCAAAATACAAACAAAAGGCTGGGCAAAGTGGCTCATGCCTGTAATCCCAGCACTTTGGGAGGCCAAGGTGGGTGGATCACCTGAGGTCAGGAGTTAGAGACCAGCCTGGCCACTGACCTCGTGATGCTGCCCGCCTCGCTCCCACCAAAGTGCTGCGCGGATTCACACAACAGGCGTGAGCCACTGTGCCCGGCATTTTTTTTTTTTTTTTTTTTTTTTTTTGAGAATCGAATCTCCTCTCTGTCACACCCAGGCTTGGAGTGCAGTGGCACAAATCTTGGCCTCAGTGCAACCTCTTCCCTCCCCTGGGTTTCAAGTGATTCTCCTGCCTCTGCCCTCCCAAGTAGCTGCGGATTACAGGTGCACGCCCCAGGCTCGGGCTAATTTTTGTGTTTTCAGCAGGATGAGGTTTCACCATGTTGGCCAGGCCTGGTCTCGAACTCTGGGCTCACAAGGCAATCACCTGCCTTGGCCTCCCAAAAGTGCTGGGTTGACAGGCATGAGCCACCACGCCCGGGGCCCAAAGACCCCTTTCCAAGTAAGGTAACATTTACAGGCTCCAGGGATAGGATCTTGGTATTCTTTAGGAACCATTATTGTTTGTTTTGTTTGTTTGTTTAATAGAGACAAGTCTCACTCTTGCTTGCCCAGGCTGGAGCATGGTATCACAAATCATACTCACTGTAATCTCAAAACTCCTGGATTCAAACAAATCCTCTTGTTCCAGCCTCCCAAGTAAGCTGGTAACCATAGGGCAATCTACCCACCATGCCCAGCTAAATTTTTAAATTCTTATCAGAGGAGTCTCGCTGTGTTGCCCAGGTTTGGTCTCAAACTCCTGACCTCAAGTGATCCCCCACCTCAGCCTCCCAAAGTGCTAGGAATTAGCAGGTGTGCAGCCAATAGTAGCTGGGGGGCCTACTATTTAGCGCAGACTACAGACCACCCACCCTCCCTCCCGTTGCAGGTTCCCTCACACCCTCCCTCCCTCCCCACAGGTCTTCCTGCAGTCACTCAC